CACACATGGCTGAAGAATCAAGAAAACAAGAAGCTCATTATCAAGCAATTCTTGATAATTAGAAAGAATTCTTTCAGCAACAACAAAAATGGCAGGAAGATCACGATCAGGAAATGCAATCTCATATGGAATCTTAGGTGACCAACAGTATAACTTCAGTGAGATCTACATGTTGAATAGAATGGGTGATTGGGAATCAAATGTGGAAGTTATTGTTGGTTGTTTACGGCAAAATACTTTTGGTTCTAGTAATAAAATTCCTAGCAATAAAGCGAGCCCTGAACAAACTCAACCTGAAATGTTCACAAAAAAGAAGTATAATAGGAAGGTAAAATCTTCAGGTTATCTTCTAGAGGACTATTCTATGGAGAGGTATTCAACAGTTAGAGATTGGGTGATTCTGAATAAATCGAGGTAAAAAATCTAATTCGAACTTATTAGTTATATTGTATTCATTTAATACTAATCTAAACTATGATATACAGTACATATTGGAATTTTGGAGGCAATATGTATGGAAGAGACACGCTAAAAAATATAATAGATGAAGACAAAGATATCAGCGTTGCGGTTAGTGATGCTTACAAATCATAATTAATTTCAGTCTACACTTGACATATCTAACTTATATTTATTTATTGTATTGGCCTATAGAGATGTAGTTAAAGTTGTTGAGGCGATTGATTAAAGAAGGTTGTACACTTCTCTATAAAGAATATGCAATTTTGGATTTCAAATTTGAAAATGAATGCATTCGCCAAATGATGAGGCAAAGAAATTTGAAAGAAGGATGTGCTGGTGTACATGATCGTCAAATGGATTTCACTGTGTTACAAAAATACATAAGTGGCAATTTGCCAGAGGGCAGTCGTCTACAGGTAGCATGCAACTATTTATTAATTTCATATTCATATCTAGGTGATTATAATTATTATCTTTTTGTTGTTGATTTTTGTGAGTGAAAATTCCAAATACATGATTATAGTTATGACGTCCACACACTAGGAGAAATCAGGAAACAAGTAAATCTAGTATTCGAAATACTTCAAATGTTATTGATGAATTTGGATTTTTGTTCTAGTAGACCTAATTTAAGGAAGCACAGAAACAAGCGGCTTAAAGTGGAGATTATACCTTACTTGCGCAAATAATGGGTAAGTATTTAAAGTATTTAAAAAGTGTTTATTATTTACTACGATATTAAATTTTCCTTTTAATTTCATTTTATATATTCATTACTATTTTAGCTTAATGTAAAAAAAATTGTATGTAGGCCAAACTGTAGACTTTTTGTCCTCAAATACATAAAATGCTTTGTTCGAAAAGATCCATTAGAAACAATTGAATTGGTCAGGATGAACATATACAGACGGAAGATTATAGTAGACCTCTGTTACAATCAATATTTTTTACATCCTCATACATCTTGATTGTAATTGTGATGTAAAGATAATTTAAATACACATGCTCAATGCTGTTGAGAAGGATTGCTATGTAATAAGTTAGTTTTCAATCAATTGAAATTATTTATTCCTCTTGTTTTTTGTATAATATAAAAAGAAAGAGTAATTATATAGTGAGGAAGAGCAGAAAAAGTAAAATGCTCTTTGATTAATATTTTGTAGGTATAGACATATACTTCTTTTTTTTCGATGATTAATTCTCCTTACTCACTGTACTCTTATTTTTGTTGCTAGAAAGATCTGAAAATTCCATCTTCTTCCTGTCTTTGGAATTTATGATCAATATTTTTTTGAATAAAGCAAATGAATGACAAAAAAATAGAAATGCCTTCATTAGTGTCGACAATTGTGAAATTACATCTATCGTACTATCCAACCATACAAAATAAAAAGTGAATAACTAAAGCATAAATGATGTAAATATCATGCCTACATACATCATTTGTCAACACCAATGTGTTTGGCAGTTTCCAAATAATTACATTAATGAATAAAATGAAGCCAAGAACAATTTCACAGCAAAAATAGTAAAATAAACACTTCAATTATTATTCAATATGTTGACCACCGAACTCCGACCTCATGATAAATTATCGCAGGCGCCAACTCAAGCAAATGTGAGTTCGATTGTGACCCCCAGATCGAATTTCCCGCCATAAACTCAGGAGACATCATGATTACCCCTTGTCACATCAACCTCTCTAATCAACCCATTTGTCTGGAGTGATGTCACCGCCGCCCACGGCCACCAATCCCTAGCTCGGGATCTTCAAGTTGCCTAAGGGTCATCATTATCTGAGAACATTGACACATGACCGTCGGCCTCGTCGACCAATCATAGGAGAATTCGACGACCCGAGTTTCGAGCTTGGAATGGTAGCTGATTTGATTGATTTGACGTAATTTCGACTGAAAACATGTATAAATAATGGAGAAATTGTTACCCCAAAGGAGGAAAAAAAAAGAAAGAGAGACCATTACATGATTATATTTTCTCAATTGATTTACGGCTCATTTAGTAATAATTCCCCCTTTTTATTCTTAAAGTTGGCTCAAGATCTGTCTTGCAAATTTTGACGTCAACAGTTTGACGCAAGAAGGACGGCCCCAATTGTGAAAAATAGCCCCATTTCCCCCACTAAACCGAAGAACCATGAGCCGTGGTTCCAGTTCCGAAAATCCATCTCATACCCACCCTCATGAAACTAATACTTTGCCAAATTCTCCAAGACAACAAGACCAACAAATGACTGCCATAAGGAAAGCCCTGGAAAAATTAACAAATGCAGTGGGAAGATTGGAAAGGAGTCATGCCCACCTATTCCTACCAGATACCGAGGTGGAATCCCCTGCAAGAACAAGGGCAAGGTGTCCTCTCACCAGGAGGACTCTCCACTTTTCAAAAGAAGAATTCTCTAGAAGCCGAACTGACGAAGTAAGGAGTAAGGATTCGGCGGCAAGAAGGACTGGCAGTGTATTCGACAAGTTGGAAACCCAGCACTCACTAACTCCTACGCAAGGACAAGCTAAATCCGACCTCAGACATCCTCTGGAACATGCAAAACCAGGACTGAGCGCACTAAAAAGACGCATCGCCGACCTGGAGGTAAAAAATAGAAGCGGCACTGAAGATTGCCTCACAAAGAGACATTTCCCATTTACAAAGGATGTCCTCATGGAACCATTACCTGAAAAATTGAAGATTTCCCAGATGATCGCATACGAAGGATACGGGGATCCCCTCAGCCTCCTTGAAAAGTACACTTCGTGGATGGAATTGCAAGGGGCCAACGATGCCATCATGTGTCGGGCTTTTCCCCTTACCCTAGGAGACAAAGCACAAAGATGGTTCAGAAGACTGCATCAGAGGTCGATAAAAAGTTGGAACGATCTAGCCACAGCATTCTTGGCCAGTTTATGGGCTCCAAAGCCAGAACCACGCCCAATGAGTGGCTACTAAATATCAAGCAGGGAAAAAGTGAATCCCTCAAAAGTTATCTAAGCAGATTCAATAAACAATCCGTGGAAGTGGAAAAGATATCTGATGACGATGCACTTATAGCCGTACTGGCTGAACTAAGGCCCATAATGAGATTTTGGTGGTCGATACACGAGGATGGCCCAAGAACTTCTTGACCCGATCTGAGAAATACATTAGTACTAAAAAAGCAACCTCTGACCAAGAGGAAACTAGATGTGATCCCGATCTCAGTAATACAGCGAAAGAGAAAAAGTTTAATAACAACCCCCAGTTCCAAAGGAAGAAGGATAGAAGAGAAAGAGATTGCCCTAAGGCCCAGCAATACAAGTTTTGAGAGTACTACCTACTCAAAGCTTCCTTGGAAGAGGTATTCATGCAAACTGGAGATAAAGAGGCATTCCGTAGGTCGATAGTCCCGAAGTACAGGCAGGTAGGACACTAACAAAGACGATACTGTTGATATCACAAGATGGAAGGCCATGAGACGGACAACTATCGAGAATTGAATGAGGAAATTGAATCCTTAATTTGTAGGGGTCAATAATAAGAATTCATTGCCAAACCAAAAGACACAGGCCGACCTCAGCTGTAACCACCTTTGCGATAGGGACCGCCTGCACGAGCTCAGTAGGCGGTTCATAATCGCAATCCATCCCCACACGTCGTCAAAGGATCCAGACGGGTAAGGCGAAGACAAGCCCGAAATGCATAAACCATGTCAAACTATGGGAAGTAGACCCCACAGATCAGTACAGACCTTGAATGGTTTTGGTTCATGGAGGAAAATTCCCAAGGAATCCTCCAAGATCAAAGCGACACTCTAGTGATCACCATGCCAGTTGCCGGAGTAAAAGTCTACCGAACATTGGTAGATAATGGAAGTTCGGTCAATATATTGTACTCACGAACTTTGAGCCAGTTAGAAATATCGGAGCGTTATCTTCAACCATACTCAAGAAAACTGCAAGAGTTCTCTGGGGACCCCATCGAAGCCCGAGGCCAAATAGTCCTTGTTGTAGAATTGGGCGAAGCTCCTCGCCAAAGAAGGATTCTGGCAGATTTCGTGGTAGCCGACCTTTCATCCAACTATAACGCGATATTGGGATGACCTATATTACACTAGCTGAGAGCCACCACATCGATCTATCATTACTATATGAAGTTCCCCACCCCTACGGGATCAGAATAATTCGAGGAGACCAGGCTGGGGCTAGAGCGTTCAATATCGACCTACCTAAACTATAGGTCAATATGTTAAGGAGCAGGGCAAACACACAAGCCAAGGAATCCAGACTGAAGAGGCCTATCATTGCGGATCTCTTCGAGATCGACATAACAGAAAAGCATCTTCGAAAAACCACGGATGATCAATTATCCTTTGACGAAAAAGAGGCAGATCCACATCCCTACCCCAGGTTCTGGTTATCTCACCACCTTTAGCAGGGGTAACCATCCCAAAAGTCTTGGTGGACACAGGGAGCACTTTCAACATTCTCTTTAGCAACACTCTCAAATGGATAGGTATACCTGCCAACTTCCTGAGGACATATTCAAACATGGTCTTTGGATTAAGTGGAGTCTTGACCACGGCCAAAGGATCAATCAAACCTAAAGTCGAGTCGGGATCGGTGTCCCGTCAAGTTAAGACAAACTTCAAATTCGTGGTGTTCGATAGCCTATCGCCTTATGACGCTATCATGGGACAACCTCTGATATTCAGCCTGAAGGTAGCAGTGTCCCTATACCACTATTCAATTAAATTTCCCACACCCTATAGTGTGGGTGAAGTAAAAGGAAATAGGGAACTCATCGAGAGGTATAAACTGAAAGCCTACGTCGACGATCAATGCAACCTTCTAGGAGTGTATATGGCTCATGTAGAAGATCCCGAGCTCAGTTCACTAGACGCACGGTTCAAAATTGAAGGAGGAGAACCCATAGAAGAACTGGATGAAGTCCAAGTTTGTACCAACGACCTATCGAGAAAACTCAAAGTGGGACGCGAGCTGCATCCCTCTATTCGAAGTGAAATTGTGAACTTTCTCAGATAGAACCTCGATGTCTTCGCCTGGAACCATGGAGACATGGGGGGATAGACGCCAACATTGCATGCCACAAATTGCAAGTGGATCCCTCAGTTCGTCCAAAGCAACAAAAACGACGACCTCTAAATCCCGAAAGATATGAGGTGCTCAACAAGGAGGTACAAAAACTATTGCGCAATGGTTTTCTTCGAGAGGCAAAGTATTCCAAGTGGGCCGCAAATCCGGTTCTTGTAAAAAAATACAATAAAGATTGGAAGGTATGCATAGATTTCACCGACCTCAATAAAGCATACCCTAAAGATAGCTTCTCCCTACCAAGAATAGATCAAATGGTAGACGCCACTGAGGGGTACAAATTACTCAACTTCATAGACGCGTACTCTGGATACAATCAGATACCGATGTACGGACTAGATCAGGAACATACCTCGTTTGTCATTGACCGAGGTCTCTATTGCTACAGGGTAATGTCATTTGGTCTCAAAAAATGCTGGGGCCACCTATCAATGACTTGTGAATTCCATGTTCTCCCAACAGATCGGAAAAATAATGGAAGTATATGTTGATGATATGTTGGTAAAAAGCACCAAAACCAAAGATCATTGTCGACAGTATTTTGAGAAAGAATGGAATGAAACTGAACCCTAGGAAATGTGCCTTTGGGGTCAGCTCTGGAAAATTCCTAGGATACATTGTAAATAACGAAGGAATAGAAGCAAACCCCAAAAAAATACGGGTTGTTATCAAAATGGAGGCCCCAACCAAACCCAGAGGGGTGCAAAGTTTGACAAGGAGGATTGCTGCCCTCAGTCGGTTCATCTCTAAATTTACGGACTGATGCAAACCCTTCTTCGACACACTTTAAGGAGGGAACGAGTTCGAATGGACCAAAGAATGCCAATAAGCCTTTAACAAGTTAAAGAAACAGCTAGCTCAACCCCCACTGCTCTCAAAGCCTAAGGCCAGCCTGTAAAATAGCAGAGTTTAAGGCCACGCATCCGATGGGAGGCTTATCAGCCCGGTCAGAAGGTTCAGCGATTATCATTATGACCGAGCTGGGAATACCATACTTGCTTCTCCAGCTCGCCAGCATATCTCCCGTTACGACAGACCTATAGGAACTAGCCCCCACTCCTCCTCGGCATTCCCCTCATTGCCTTCACGAGATTCTACCTTCTCACCGCCCAAATCTTCCATAATTCGCGCCATCTCCCTAGGTCGAGCTACAGTAACTGGGTTAACTATAGAAAGGAGAATAGGGGTGAATATCTCTCTACAACTAGGTGATGAGCTGGAATTCAAAGGGACTGATTCTTCCTGTTGGTTTTCCCAGGAATGAACCCTAGATTCATCCGAACTCATATACAAACCGAGAAGAAAATGTGTATCGCAAGGACGAAGAAAAGTTACAGAAGATTACCTGGGAACTGAAGAAAAAATGACCCTACTTAAGAATAAAGATTGAGTACTAAAAGATTTTTCCTGCTACCTTGGAGAGAAAAAGTCACGTAAAGTAGGGTGAAATAGAGGCACAAAAAGAATTTAAAAGGATGGAAGGTTAAAATGCTTAATCCAAGCCGTCCGTCCAAAAGATGGAGGGAAAATTAATGGACCAGATAGGATCACGCTGAAACTTCCCAAAGAAGCCACAATGAGTGACGTACAGCTCATCCCCATCACAAACTCGGCACTTGGCACTGTAATAATTACACTTCCTGCGAAAACACCAACCGAATTAAAAGGTCAGTCCCCCCTTATAGCAGAACTGACTTGGGGGATAATTGTTGACCACCGAACTCCGACCTCATGATAAATTATTACAGGCCCCACCTCAAGCAAATGTGAGTTCGACTGTGACCCCCAGATCGAATTTCTCGCCGTAAACTCAGGAGACATCATGATTATCCCTTGTCACATCAACCTCTCTGATCAACCCATTTATCAGGAGTGACGTCACTGCTGCCCACGGCCACCAATCCCTAGCTCGGGATCTTTAAGTTGCCTAAGGGTCATCATTATCTGAAGAGAACATTGACACATGACCGCCGGCCTCGTCGACCAATCATAGGAGAATTTGGCGACACGAGTTTCTAGCTTCGAACTATAGCTGATTTGATTGATTTGATATAATTTCGGTTGAAAATATGTATAAATAATGGAGAAATTGTTACCCGAAAGAAGAAAAAAAAAAAGAAGGAGAGACCATTACATGATTATATTTTATCAACTGATTTATGGCTCATTTAGTAATAATTCGCCATTTTTATTCTTAAAGTTGGCTCGAGATCAGTCTTACAAATTTTGACGTCAACACAATCCATCTTTCATTTTGGAATCAAACGATTTGTGCTAGACACATCTGAACTGCTATTTTCATCACATAGAAATTCGAATTTGAGCATTCCTTTGAAGATCTGAAAAGGGCTCTCTTTGCTAGAGGTGACAAATTCTCTTAAGAGTTTAGAGAGTGTGCATAAGTACTTTTCCCACATGCTGTACCTATACCTTGAATATCAACATTTGCTTAGCTTTTTTCTCCTGGACTTGTTTGATCTAAATCTATTTAAGAGATGATGTCAAATCTATAGCTTGAGAAATTAAGCTCAGTTTGGAATGCTTTCAAGTAGAATGCTTGTTGAGTATTCTGCATTTTTTTAACGACGCTTCAAAGTATGTTTGTGAATCTTGTATGTTAATGATGTATTTTATTAATATTGCTTGAGTAACATGTTTATGGAGCGGCAAAATGTTGAAGTTACATTAAAATTCTTACAGAATTGGTTTGCTCCATCAGAGAATCTGCACTTGTAAATAATAGTTTCTCGGTTGCGTTACCAATTGCACTTGCACTAATGAGCCTATGACATCTGATAGTTGCATACATGCTCTAGCCCTAAAATGTATTTGATACACACTAAACAAATAATCAAGATAATTAAAGAAGGTATGTATATCCATTTAATAAAGTAAAATATACGGAGAAATAGTTTTAGAATTTGGATTCTTGCAAAAAAATATAGAGATAAGTTTCTCCAAAATCAGCATTTGATCGTCTATAACAATTGTTGCAAGTCATGTACCAAGATTTGTTATCAATCTTGTCTATAATTGCTATGCCATTTACCCAATAAAACTTTCACCGTGTCAAAAACAAAAACAGAGGAAAAATAAGGAATATGAGTGTGCAACTTTTTATATGTATAAAACTTGCCATGAATACCATTATTGCTAATAGGCGTCCTTGAAGATTCTGAATATGAGTGTATTTACTTCGCACAAGTGGAGAAAGATTTGTGAGGCTTCTTTTCATGTATGGTTTTTTCAATACCAAATCATTTATTTTGATTGAATTTTCTTTGACCCTTAGTAAATAATATTGTAAATAAGGTCAAATAAGATCAAGATATTTAGAATAAAATTAGTAATATGTGGATAGAGATGCGGGAAATAGGAAAAAAGAATAACAAAATAAAATTAATTTATTCGACATATCGTTTTGCCATTTCTTTTACTTTTATAAAAAGTATATTTATGAACGTGCTATGGACTTTTGAAAGTAGGGTGAGCATGGGAGTTTTTATATTTGAACAATGCTATAGGTAAAGAATTTTTTGACAAAAAAATTTACAGACAATACATGGCGCGACATCAGTGAAAAATAAAAAAAAAAGTCAAATAATATTTTGCCACATCAGTATCTGTGCGAGTTCTATTAGAATTTATTTTGTACTCATAACTTTATTTTTTTATTTTATAAGATTCTGGTTAACATTCGGGCGTGCATGCATTGCATTATCAAACATGGTAGTTTGAGAATTTCTTTATTGATATAAATTCTCTTATCTCTAATAGCATCGGCACTGAATTTTTGAATGAAACTCTTTTAGAATTGATGTCGATCGATCATTGTCTCCTACAAGTCGACTCACCCACGCACTAATCACATTCGCATTTTCATCCCCGCTTTTCATTTTATTTATTCTTTAATAACAATCATTCAGTGGATCTCTCTTATATTTTTCATGCCCAATGAGCGAATTTGTACCTTATTTTTATTTTGCGCTTTAATATCCGATTCTTGATTAAATAGTTATTTTACAAAAAGTTGTCGGATCATTAGCAATATAATATGTGTTATTACTACGCCAAATAATTGAATATTTGGCATTTTTTCTTCATTTTAAGAACTTAATTTATGACAAGAAATATATTAGGCTGATAAGATCACATTATGGAGCGAAATTAAGGGTTTCTTCAAGGTGCATTTATTGTTGTGAAATTCAAGAGGATAGGATTCTTTGAGGCAAATATAGCATTTGATGGGGAATAATTGCGTCGGTCCCAATGTGGGTAAGAATGGCTTCTTGCAGTCTGTCACCGCTGCAGTCTGGAACACCCGGGAGCCGGAAACCCTCCCGGCACCCAATCAGCAGCAAGAAGGAAATAGTAGTAACGAGAAGAATTTAGAGGGTGAAGGTTCTGGTTCTACCACCGCGCCTATACAGCCAATAATTGCCGGTGAGCAGGCCAAACCAGGAGATCCCCAAAAGGAGGCAGGGCAAGGCACCAAGCCAAATCACTTAAAGAGAGTATCAAGTGTAGGCCTACAAGTTGAATCAGTTTTACAGCGAAAAACAGGGAATTTGAAGGAGATATATTCATTGGGAAAGAAGTTAGGACAAGGGCAATTTGGGACAACATTATTATGTGTGGAGAAAGAAACTGGTAAAGAATTTGCGTGCAAATCAATTGCTAAGAGGAAATTGATTAGCGAGGAAGATGTGGAGGATGTAAGAAGAGAGATTCAGATAATGCACCACTTAGCAGGGCACCCGAATGTTATATCCATTGTGGGAGCTTACGAAGATGCAGTTGCAGTTCATGTCATAATGGAACTCTGTGCGGGTGGGGAGCTTTTTGATAGGATCATACAGAGGGGACATTACACGGAAAGGAAGGCTGCTGAGCTTGCTCGGATAATAGTTGGTGTTGTAGAGGCATGTCATTCCTTAGGGGTTATGCATAGGGATTTGAAGCCAGAGAATTTCCTTTTTGTTAACGAACAAGAGGAGTCACCACTTAAAACCATTGACTTTGGCCTCTCAATGTTCTTCAAGCCAGGTACTCATATACGTTAGCATTTATTTGATTATATTGAACGTGATCAAAGAAATGGAACTTAGAAGTATTCACAGTGAAGTGTTCTCAGAACATGGATTTTGATCCTCTGTGCTCGTCCATTTGTATGAATTACTGAACAGACAAAACTAACAGAAAGTATGAAGCTTTTTTAAGTTTAGTTGTCATTGAAAGCTGTGATTATGTCTATGTAGTTCGAGGGTTATCTAGGAATGCCCATTCTACCTCTCCAACTGAGATCATTACAGTTAATGTATGGACATTGTAGGAAAAAAAACACTCCTGGAATGTTGGACAATATTAAGAAAGAAAAAGATGCTAAAATATTCTTTGTTATTCCCCTGTTCGGTGGTAGATATCGATGAAAGTTGAACATGATCAAAGAAATGGAACTTAGAAGTATTGACAGTGAATTGTTCTCAGAACATGGATTTTGATCCTCTGTGCTCGTCCATTTGTATTAATTACTGAACAGACAAAACTTACAGAAAGTATGAAGCTTTTTTAAGTTTAGCTGTCATTGAAAGCTGTGATTATGTCTATGTAGTTTGAGGGTTATCTAGGAATGCCCATTCTACCTCTCCAACTGAGATCATTACAGTTAATGCAAGGACATTGTAGGAAAAAAAAACACTCCTGGAATGTTGGACAATATTAAGAAAGAAAAAGATGCTAAAATATTCTTTGTTATTCCCCTGTTCAGTGGTAGATATCAATGAAAGTTGATGAGATGTGGTTGAAACCGGTTCGAGTCCCTCAGAGCCTCTAAGTTGAGCACCAGCCTATAAACTTTAGGGCCCCGTGGGATTAGTCGAGATGCGCGTAAGTTGGTCCGGACACCTATAGTCATAAAATTAAAAAAAAAGATGTGGTCCCATGAATTTTGTAGTTAAAATTAAGCGTTGAATTTGATTTCGATTAAAATCTGGATTTTAATTCCTACCAAACAGGGGATGTTTTGCCGAGTCATGCCCCAAACTGCGTACTAGAAATGTTCTTGTAGTGAAGCAAGTTATGGTTTAATGACTACATAGATTCCGTTATGTCCATTGATCAACTTACTTAAATTTGAAAGATGGTCAAATTTGAAAAATTAGACATGCCTCTTCTTTTAGCTTGGTATTGCACAACCGCATTTCTCAATGTAGAAGTAAGTGAGACAACAATTGGTGTGCACACTTGCGATTCTGGTACAGCAAAAGAGTCCTGGTCATTGTTTACCCTCTTATGGATTTATCACTTTTGTTGAACAGCTATAATTGAGGCTGACCCCCTTCATATTAGTTTTAGAATGCCTCAGCGTATACCATAAATGAGGCTGACCTCCCTTCATGTTTGTTTTAGAATGCCTCATTCTTATCTGATTGAAACCAACAGAACGACCACTATTATGACATATGCAGACAAAGGGAGGAAGACTGTATTTCATAGAACTCTTTTATTAACTTTTATTGGTCGAAGAAGAATAGGATTCTTTTCATCAATTTGCATTGAACTTCATTCAAAATTCAATTTTTTTGATATAAGAATCCCCCAATACACGAATAGTCAAAATCTGGAGGCGTTTATGGCTAAAAGATTAAGCACAACTATCAACCTGACTTTTTGGAGAAAATCCAAAGATGAAGATGACTCTTGCAGCCTCATCTTTTTGGGAAGTGGCATGCCTTTTGTAATTGGTTGAAGAGGGTGGTGACTTTATCTTAAGACCTTCAGGTTTTGGTTTCTACCTTATTTCATGCATCCTTGTGTAAAAAGTACAGTTGAACATGTAAATAGGCATTTTCTCCTGGTTTGAGCCTTTTCTCTCTACGGTTAATTAATTTTGGATTACTAATCTTCATTTAAATAAATTAATATTATTGAGTTGTTAAATCAATTTGAGTAGCTTATTTGGTTTTGGGAAGTGGAAGCAGCAAAGCTATTGCATTTTCTCTATGCATTTACATACTCAACAAGTAACCGTTAATGAATTACTATTCAAGTTACTTTAAGCCTCCGATTCCAAAGAGTGGTTCTTTATTCATTTCTTCTCGTTCTCCTGATATTTCCGAAGCAGGGATAAGATATTGAATAGTATGTCTATTTTGAGGTTAACATGTCAAAATCCTGTAACTGGTGACATGAGCTATTCATTGTTCCATATTCTCTACATCATATTTATGACAACTAGAGTTATTATCCAGTTAAGAATTTGGGAACAAAGCACCGGGAAATGCCGGTTGATTATCTCTGGAGCACTGAAATTTAGTCGTTTGCTTTAGGTCATTTTTCCCCTTAAGGCTGAATTCCTTTCTGACTCAAAGATATACTTAAAGCCTAGGGAGATTTATGTTTCTATAAAAGTTTAGCAAGCAAAGGTATAATCTCTTAGCGATTCAAAAGATAAGAAGCCCATGTAAGGTTGGTTGGTTATATATGTTAAAACATCTATCTCAAAACAAATCTTAAAGCTAATTGGCAATGGGTATAATGCTGTCCAGGCTCATAACTGGTTTCAAGGTGATGACATATTGTTGTGGGACAAGATCTAACAATTTACTACACGTGCAAAATTCACTTGCATGTAGAGAGATAAACAAACAAGGTGAAACTGCAATATTTCCAAGGTGTAATCATAGCATAAACCAATGTTAAAAATGTTGAATAAGGTAGAATGATGTTTTAAATTTGTGAGACGAGGCTTAAACCTCAACACAAACCAATAAAATTGAAAAAAATATAAAAAAAAGAAAAAATACAAATATATATTCATAGTAAGCAATTGACTATATTTAGAATCCATAAAACCAATTTACAAAATTAAATTAATTTGCAAAGAAACTTAAAATTGGTCAATAAAGTAAATAATAACAAATCGTTAAATTAGCAATTGTATAACAAATTTTAATCTATGAGTGGGAAAAGCTTAAGAAGTCTCATGTGTACTTAATTCTAATACGATTTCTAACTCTAAGTGAATCATCTGTGCGTCTGATTCTCCTATCATCTACCCCTTTAGTATTAACTTTTTCTCATTCATTTTCCTCATTCTGTGCTTGTCATTGAGGAGTTGCAACTTCACTTGGGAGAGGGTTTTATTTCACTTCAATTCTAGGAGGCTAAGGCACTTTGCTTCACTTTCTCTTTTCTCCAATTCTTTTATCATTTTTAGGTTTGGGTTGTGTTTATAACAGCCTAAAAACCATTAAGCATTCTAGGCACTAGAAAAAAAGCTCACAACAGTTAGGCCAATAATGAAAAGTCGAGGAAAACAAGGCAAATAGCTCATGTCACATCAAGTTGAGGCATAAGCTTTGATAAATGGCACAAACGGCGAAAGTTTCAAAGCATACAATGAAAGCCTCATATGAGGCATGCCTTAAGGCATTATCCCAAGTGCTCTTTAAATAACAATGCCATAAACAAAGGCCACAAATTGTAAATTGATTAGACTGCACTCATACTTCATCAGCCAGTTAAAAACTAAAACATCCATTGCATGACCATTGGGAATATGAGGAGAAGTGATCTAGGTCCATAACTAGTTTGGTATATGATACTTTACCATTGGAAACAAACAGGAACGTTCGTCATTTGCACTAGTCTTTTTAATGACCAAGATCTTGTGTTCAAGTTGTTATATCATATGCATTGTCCGATTTAGGAGAGCCTATGCTCTCTTACTCATGAATTTCTATCACGTCCTCTAGGATTAGAACTCAAGGCCTATGCTTTATCAGCTACTTAAGTTGAATCTTGTACCAATTGGGCTTTGTGAAGGATTACAAGGGCATATGCTTTTCAAAGTGGATAGTATGTATGATGTAATGATTTGGGCACGAGATCTACTTCATTGCAAAAAATGTGCATTTTTTTTGTAAAGAGGTCTTATGCCTAAGTCATTATATTGTTCGCTTTGAGAGGGCATCTGCCCTCTTATCTCTTACGAATTTATATTGCATCTTCTAGAATTCGAAGCTAAGACCTTCATCTTTTGGGAGACTTAAGTTGAATCTAGTATAAATTGAGCAAAGGATTCAAATTAAATCTCTCATAAGGCAGAAGTTTTGGGTTCAAATCCTGGCGACGCTATAGAAATCCGTGCGGGTAAGAGGGCAGATGACCTCCAAAGTAGACAGTATATATGATATAACGATTTGAGCACAAGGCCCAGGTCGTTACAAGTCTCGTACAAGCACGAATCTTCCTGGAAACAATTCTAATTTTGTCCGAGTAAAAAAATCTTCTTAAATTTTACTCATGCTGATCAATGCTTGAGTTGGGTGAATTGTGGGGCAATGATAGTTTCAGTTATGCTCATGATGTTTTTAGAGTTGTTAGGCATGACTTGTCAACCGTCATGTCCAAAATTGATTATGCATTTGGATAGTAAATTTCTATATGTTAAAGAAAGGGGATATATGTTTTGAGTATCCCAAATACCGTCATATCCTGTATACAAGTTGCTGATTCAAAAAACTAGTGAATGAGACGTGAAGCTGATCTGCTAGAGCCAAAGTCAATCCTATGTTCTTTTTTTCTTTCTTTCTTTCTTTCTTTTTTTTTTTTTTTTAACCATCATCTAGTGATGATTTAGAAAAATCTTTTACTGTGCATGTACACTTCTCTGAAAACATTGGAAACAGGACATTGTGTCACACACTCCATCCCTTCTGAAAATTGCGGAAACTATAAATTTTTCGTTTCAGATAAGTGGAAACACAAATCACAAATTTTGGGTATTGGCAATCCGCCTGCCAAATCTTTCTTGGTTTCAAAGTTTGAGTTAAAAGTTTCTGAAATATGGTTGTAGGCATCCTAACCTTTCTTCTGCTACTGATTAGGAATTATTCAAAATGTTGAATCAACATTTCTATCCTTCATATTTACATCTTTATTATTATTAATTTTTTTATTTTATTTTTTTTCAGTTGAGACATTCAGCGACGTGGTTGGAAGCCCTTATTATGTAGCTCCAGAGGTATTGAAGAAGCACTATGGTCAAGAGTGTGATGTTTGGAGTGCTGGAATCATTATATACATTTTGCTAAGTGGAGTGCCTCCATTTTGGGATGGTGAGCATTTATTTTGATCTTTGTTGTTTTCTTGCTTCATTTTTGTATGCTTGAATTTACTCAGTTAGACCTATTTTCTTGCATGGGAATACGTGTTGGATCAGAAACGGAACAAGGGATATTTGAACAGGTTTTGAAAGGAGAACTTGATTTTGTATCTGAGCCTTGGCCTAGTATATCCGATAGTGCAAAAGATCTTGTCAGAAGAATGCTTGTTCGAGATCCTAAAAAGCGGCTGACTGCACATCAAGTTCTGTGTGAGTATGCTATATACCAAACCCAACTCTTTTAAGTCTCTGGGAATCGGCCACATTCTTTTGCCAGTTTGTTATGCAATATCGACATGTTTGATAAGTTGGATTAGATAATATTGGATTGTATTAAAGAAGAAAAAGAAACTAAAATCTTGTCTATTTTAGTGTCCAATAAAATCTAATTTTACATATCAAATATGTATTATATGTGGAAAATGAGAACTAATGCTTTATCCCACTGTCAAAAAAGATAACTTGAAGTGCTGTGGACAGATGATGATGCATATTTGGAGCATATATATAGTACATCAAATTTCTTTGTTTTGCTGCAGAATCAAAACGTCAACGTTTCTGCAACTTCCAGTAGAAGTAGCACATTTGAGTTGATTAAGTGTACTTAAACACAATGAAAAATAGGAACTTTTTGATCAAGTGTAGAAGAAAAATAATGCCTGAGCCTTCTGATGACAGCTGTAGAAGATAGCATATGATAGGTGATACTGTTAGAACATGGTATTGCTGGGTCCAAGGAAAGAATATTTTTTTTCACTGTGATAGTAGATGAATTAGTGCATAAAGTATGCCTAATTGGACATTTTTGCAAGCTAGTGATTTGGAACTTCTTTTACAACCTTATAACATTACATTATTATTTCTTGAACTGTTTGAGTAATACAATTCAAAAATTGTTACAACTCGGCATGGGATAAAATGCTGTAGAAAGTATTATTTTTGTTGGTCCTTGTCTGTTTGTGGCCTTTAAAACTCTGGAACGAAATTATCACCTGCTGCTCTCTTCTAGGAAGTAAAGTAGGGAATTAACCGTGGCTCAAAATTTTTTTTCCAGATGGCGAAGATGAAAAAATCAATAAAAAATTGTTTAAGAGATGATCAGAAGTCTAGTTTTAAAAAATGTTGAAGCAGTTGCGAGTTTTAAAATTTCCAAAGGGAAAAGAACACACTAAAATTCGAGATAATGTAAAGTTCAACCAACAGTTATTTCCCCAATCAACTTGAGTATGAGGTGGTTTATATATGGCACATGTAATCATGATATTATTAGTGTATATATCCTGTGTTTACGACTTAATAACCGAGTTATTCAGGACTAAGAAATACAGGCCGTACAGAGGTGTTTCTAAAGTAAAATTGCACAAATAACCAGTAGTGCAGTTGATAGAGCTTATGACCATATGTGTAACTATAGTTTATGAAGCTTATGAAAAACAAATTCAAAGCCCAATTGTAGGAAAATGTGCTGCTATTTATGTTCTTTTGGAGTCAAGCTTTGTACATCTGAATGACTATGGTTATAATGTGCATAGGCCACCCATGGGTCCAAGTTGATGGTGTTGCTCCAGATAAGCCTCTTGATTCTGCTGTGCTAACTCGTCTGAAGCAGTTTTCCGCCATGAATAGGCTCAAAAAGATAGCTGTTAGAGTAAGTTAATTTAGCCCTTCAAACTTTTCACTATGTATTTCATGGAAAAACTGCAATAAGTTAAATTTTTTTAAAGTAATTTCTACTTACTCTTAAAATAAGTAATCTTTTTTATTTATAAGGGTATAAAAAAATCTGAATTTTGGGTTCATTTTATAATGCAAAAATGCTATTGATTTCATTTCGTCAAGCCCTAGGGAATACAATTTTATATGCCAAAACAAGGAGTGATTTTATTTCTTCAAGTAAAGAGCTCTACAGTTTTATATGCCAAAACTAGTTTTATATACTTAAATTGAATGTAGCTTTCAAGAATAATTTCCTTATAAGGAAGAGAAAAGGAGAATAATGTTGTATTATGGTAAAGTATATTATTTAATAGATTTGACATTATATCTAACCATCTCTGTTTCTTATCCATAGATTATTGCCGAATGTCTTTCCGAGGAGGAAATTGCAGGACTTAAAGAAATGTTTAAAATGATAGATGTGGATAATAGTGGACAAATCACCCTGGAAGAACTAAAAAATGGTCTGGAAAGAGTGGGCTCCAATCTCAAGGATTCAGAAATAATCGATTTGATGCAAGCGGTAAGTGTGTAATGGTTAACCTCTGAGGGCCCTTTTTCTCTTATTATTTGAATTTTGTAAGGTACAATTTGTAGCTATGGACAAGCTCTTCATTTACTTTAGAGATTACTGAATAACTGAGCATTTTTAGTTGATACTTGAATAACACTATTGTTGAAGTTTTAAGTGCATGTTTAACATTGAAAGGACCATAAGCTTTTGTTGTGACATTTATAAACTCTCCTAACCTCATCTTGGCATGTTTCATTGCAACGATTATCAGGACATTCCTCTTCTAATTCTCTTTGAGAATCTCATTTTTTCTCCTTAATCTACCTCATAATGCAGGCTGATGTTGATAATAGTGGAACCATAGATTACAAGGAGTTTGTAGCAGCAATGCTCCACCTAAATAAAGTTCAAAAAGAGGATCACATGTTCGCAGCTTTTTCATATTTCGACCAAGATGGGAGTGGATACATCACCCATGATGAGCTCCAACAGGCTTGCGAGAAACTTGGTATTGGAGATGTTCAACTAGAAGAAATCATTCATGAAGTTGATCAAGATAACGTATATTCTTAATCTTTTTCTCTAAGCATGTTTGAGCTTGTTTGCATAGATCTTTATGGATAGAATTACGCGAAACTTGAAAAAAATTAATGAAAAAAATTTCATCTTAATTTTTCTCTCTCTTCAGGATGGTCGAATTGATTACAGTGAGTTCGTGACCATGATGCAAGATACTGGTTTGGGAATAAAGGGATTGCAAAAAATCTAAAGCACGGGGGTCTAAGAAACACTCTTATCACGTTTGCTACTACGCATCACTAGAAAAAGAAAATTAGAGTGCTTTTTATTGTAAAGATTAGCCATGATCTAGAAATGGACCTCCGCTCTCTTTTAGTGCATTCATTTTGTATCTTTTGTTTGGTTATGGACAGCCTGCCCCATAAACCTATTGCTCAATTTATGCGTTGTATCATTTTGCTCATCAAGGGAGTGCATTGAATTAGGACTTTTATAGGCCTTTTTAAGTGACAAATTTTGTAGAATTTATGAATTTGTATAGATATGTATGGAATTAATGTAAGTTTTTCATAGACTTCTATACACTTTTATTTTAAAACTTTTAAAGGCTTTTAGAATTCTATTGACCCTTGATGACTTCAATTTAAAATAGAATTCACTTGATCTAACACAATAGTGAAAAGTTCCCACATAAGAGGGGGAGGTTCGATCAAAATCACCCCCTTCTCCATTTTTAATGTAATAAAATATATTTTTAAAAGAAAAAAAAAATTAAGTCTCCTTAATTAGATAATTGAATAACTAAGATTTAAAAAAAAAAAAATCAATACATAAATCGAAATGATCTAATGAGCACTAGTGCCGGTGATGTGACATACCAATTAATTAATAAATATGTTAATGTCTCATAAATTTAATGATTTACCAATTAATTGATGTGTCATGTTATCAATGCTTAATATAAGTTAAGCATTAGTGTTCATTAGATTATTTATACACACAAAAAAATTATTCATTTGTACAAAATCTTGTAAAATTAATTACAACTTGAACTTTTTCACAAAATATTGGATTTAAAAAGGAAAAAAAATGTAATAAGAATTTAACCCCCATTTGTTTCCCATTATTTTTCCATTAAAATAAAAAATATGATCGTTATCCATCATAGCAAGCCACTATATTTGAATTTCTATATCTTGTGTAGGATCCGTAACGGCTATATTTTTCATTCTTATTTTTACATAAATAGGAAACACACGGTGCATCAGTGAATTACATTTTAATTTTTACGTAGAATACGGCGAGAAACAATAAGAGAGAACAAAATATAACCTGTAGAAGAGAGAGAAATAACAAAAAGACAAATTTAATCATGACTTCATAGGGAAGAGGAAAATAAATATTGAAAGAACAAAAATACATATTGAAAAAATCTTTTGTGAAATCTCGTAATCTTGGGGTGGATGAGATATAATTTTTGAGATTTATTTTTGTAATTTTTATTTAAAAATTAGTATTCTAGCGACTTTTATAAATATTTAGAACACCTCGTAATTTATAGAAAATTTTAAAATGTTATATTAAATACAAAATAACCTTTAAAAACTTTTAAAAGTCTCTATTCAATATACCTATACTTTTATAAAGTCTTACGTCTATACTAAGTATTTCTAAGCTTTTTAAATTCTTAAAAGTCTTTAAAAGTTCCAATTGCAAACACCCCTAAAATATCATCAACTAATTTTGCCAAATATAACATGTATTTGTGTTTCCTTATAATTTATTTATAAGGAAAAGTCAAAGTCAAAGTCAAATTTTAATTCTAATCATACATTCACAACTATTATTTATTTCCTCATGGATATCAATCCTTCGTAATAGAAGTATGATTCAATTTTTCATCTTTGATTCATTGATATAGAGGCCATTAATGTTTAGTGATGTTTTCTTCGATACAAAAAACTAGCATAGGGACTTAAATTCACACAATCCATATTTAACTTATGCTTATACAATTCATTGACATTGAGATCGTAAAGAAAGTCAACGAAAATTTTATTCTCAATAGGACAAGTCAAACATTTGATTCATTTGTGATTCAGAAGTTCAATTCCATTTCCTTGCGTTGAACGCTTTTATATTTCAACTTGTTCATCATCAAATTATGTTTCGATATTGGGGTCTTCATTTGCAATTTCACCAAGATGTTTTCCTTCCCCACACTTGTATTTATTGTCAATTTTCATTTATTGGGATCAACAGTCCTTGAGTTTTGAACTTGCACACACTTTTCCACCTTTATTGTAGTATCATGATTGTTAACACCTTCATCATCTTGAACGACATATTTCTCGATCTCATGATTTGCCTTATAAATCTTTTGCTGTTTGTTTAGTCACGATATTCACAACTTGCTCCTTCAAGTAGCAACACAATAATCTTCTTATTGTACCGTCAAAATACACCCATATTATATTTTTCTATGTAAGTGGCATTTATATCACAGTACCATGGTTGTCCCATAATACGTGACAGATGTCCATTTTTATCATGTTATACACCATCTTTCTTTGTAGTACTTTCCAATAGAAAGTGAAATTTCACATTCCTACATATTTTGAATTTCTTGCTTTTTAACCGGTGAAACTTAATAGTAGGATGAGCATTTTTTCGAATTCATAATTAAAATTTTTACACTAATGCTTTGGATAATACGTATCACTACTCCCATAGTTTTTCATCATGTTGCATATGTTTCAAGAAAAGCTAGAAGTGGAGAGATTTGTATTCTTTACATTGTTTCAAGAAATCGACTGGCGTATACCCTTACCAAAGGGTTGTCAAGCTCCATTTTTCAGGCCATTTTAAACAAGTCGTGAATGAAAAATATTTTCGAGCTACTTGTAGGTGAGTGTTGAAATTTTGTCATATTAATTCCCTAATTTAAGGAAATTGTATTTCGTGTAATTTTGCATTTTACCTTATTTGCATGTGGCCTTTGATTGTAGTGATTTGATTATCCCGTAATTATGCTAGACACATAAAGTAGGAGCCATAATTGACCATAGTATTAGGCCTAGACGAAGTATATAGTTTCCTAGAATGATTATTACAACCTCCATAATGTTAATAATTCGTTATCAATATAGAATCAAATTTCTTTACATATAACATTATAAAAAATACGTAATGTGTCACTTCATGTTTGTATGGATGCAATTTCCCGTATCTTATATAAACATGAATGGAACCAGTTCCTACTGACTCATTTTTCTACAACCTAGCACGACTAATGTAGAAATATGTTAAAATCTTCGTATATTGGGGCGAGTGGATCACAGGCCCCAACAATTTCTTAATATTTATATTTTAATATACTTTTTTTTTTTTTTTGAAAAATGTACTCATGCGGGTTGCTAGTATGAGCTAACTGGCTCGACAGTAACGAGTTAGGTGACTCCGAGCTTGGACTATGTATTCGACTTAAACCGTATTTTCTTACCTAGATAATGACAAGAAAAATGTCATTTCATTTACTTTCTAATTACAAATATCTTTTCTTCAAGAAGAATAATTGGAGTAGTAACATTGAATTCCGACCATTTATAGATTTCCAGCCCTTCGAAGAAGCGCAAGTAAATTGGATCCAACACCCAACTCCCATTAATATCAGTTTTATCAACTCCCAACAAAATTGAAGGACTTGTAATTCAAAATAATTGTTCCATGCTACGATTTGGTACCATTCCATTATTCCTATTTCGTCATATTCATCCCACTTGTTCTTGCATCCATTACGAGTGTGTTTTTACTCACGAGTTATACACAATTTTAACATGATTATTTGCTAGATCTTATGAATATAAGATGTTGATGTGTTTACTAGTGTTGTTTTAAATGTTAAGATATGTGATATAAAATGGTGTAAAAATGAACAAACAAATCAAGGACAAGTTTTGGGATAGCAAGGTAAAGCCTGAGTGTAAAAAATCAAGCATCCAGGCACTACGAACAGCGAGAGAAGCAGACTTGGACAGAGAGGCAATGCCAAAACATCTAGGCTTTGCTTTTATGGTGCTTAGGCTCTGAAGCTTAGGCGCTACTTTCATAGCTCTTAGGTGCTAGGGTCAGCACTTCCAGCGCTTAGGCACTGCACCACCTATTTTAGAGTTACAGTGTTTTGGCCCTTGAAAAGCCAATAAAGATTCTTGATTTGGGAAGGACGTGAAGGGGAGTATAAATATAAGAATTGAGGACTTCAAAGGAGGAAAACATCAAGAAATTCAAGTTTTGAAAAGATTAATATCTTTATCTACATCTTTAATAAAAAATCCGGTGATATATTCAATACCAACTTCTTGTTTTTTCTTTTGATATTATGAGTAGCTAAATTTCTTATTGGAGCGAATAATGTAACTTACTTGGGCTCTTTTATTTCTTTTATTCAAGATTCTTGTTCTTTTATTTTACATGTGTTGATTTTGTTATGAGTTTAATGCGTTTAATAATTTGATCACTAATTTGATGATTTTGTGAATCTTTTATGAATCGAGATGTGAGTTTGAGATTTAGGCCATATAGTAAAATTCGCTAAATTAGTATAATTTGTAGAAATACCTATACTGATTATTGCGGTCTCAATATGAATTCTTTGAACTAGAATTTTATTTAACTAAAGTTGGTTCATATAGAGATATATAATTGAATTAATTAAATAGGCTCAATGAGAACTCAAGAATGGAAAATTGAATACGATAGAAGAATTCAATTGAACCCTATATCAGACTATCAAATCTTGAACTGGGAATTAAAGGTGATGAATAGGTGAAATTTTTTCTGCTTTAATATCTGTTCATTATTTAAATTCTAAATCAATATTTGTGTGCATCCACGTATTTTCAAGTAGTTAAATTAAAAATCACAACATATAATTCTTTATTTGCTATCATCAAATAGGAGTTAGAAATGGTAAATTAAACATTAAAGTATTGTCCTTGTAAAAATGATATTCGGACTCATTAATCACTTTATTACTTGTTAGGACATCGTACACTTGCAATACGAGAACGCAACAATCCACAATCATCCCACCTCTCTCTACTAGGCTGGTGCGTAGCCCTTTCTCTGTCTCTCTCTAAATATACATACATTTATGCATATACTATAGTTATTTTGTGGGTTAAATACGTGTATGCATGTATGATCAAATCTTTAGATTGGGAGAACTTGATTTCGTGTTTGGTTGCATTAAGTTGTCTAGAATTAGATGTATTTGCAATGAATGTAATTAAGTGTGTGTTTGAGCCACATTATTTCGAAAGAATATAGTTTGGAATAATAGATAGATTGGTGGAAAATGTGTAGTTAAAAAATAAAGAAAAATTTTAAATTTGCTTTAATATTATTTTATTGAAAAATGTGTGGTTGAAATGATGTTAAATCACTGTTTAAGAATATATTTTTTTTTTTTTTGAAAAAATGCGGCTCATACATGGCCTAACTTGTAATGAGGTTTTAATTTTGTTCCTCATTGCATATATTGTTGTGTGATTTTCGAAGCACATCTTCCAGTTAGGGCTGGACATGGTCCGGTTCGGT